TACTTTAGAACTCATTTTATTCATAAAAGTTATTTTCAAATAATTTTATTTTGAGACAGGGTATTGCTGAGTTGTCCAGGGTAGACTCAAACTTGTGATCAATCTCTAGTACCACAGGCAAGGAAGGATAAGGGTAAGAGAGAAAGGGAAGCAGAGAGGGAAAGAAATTAATTTTATGTTTACTGCTTTAGCTTTTGAGATTTCTTAGAATATAAATAAGGATGTAAATAAGGAATGTAAATATAGGATAACCACTGGGCAACAGTAATATTCACCTCACATTGCTCTTCCTTTTTCTTACTTTTATAGTTGGCATCAGGATTGAACCATGGGATTTCTTATTTAATTACATCCCAAGCCCTTTATGTTATTCTGATAAGGCCTGGCTAAATCATTAAATTACCCAGGTTGGGCTTGAACTTGTAATACTCCCTACCTCAGGAATTATAGGCATGTGCTATCACACCCAGTCACATCTCTCCTCTGACATGCTCCAAGGCCATGTATGTGTTCTTCCCAGAAGCACAGATTTCACTATCCAAAACTAATGGGGGGAAAAATATGCAAAACTAATGGGTCTGGTGGTACACACCTGAGGCTAAGGAAGGAGGATCATTTAAAGGCCAGCCTGAACTGCACAGCTTAACCCTGTCTCAAAGAAAGGAAGGAAGGAAAGAAAGGAAGGCAGGCAGGCAGGCAGGCAGGCAGGCAGGCAGACAGACAAAAAAGCTAAAAAGGACTAGTAGTTTACTCTAAAATTTGGTCAGGAATAATGGCATACATCTATGACCCCAGCATTCTGAAAAGCTGAGGCAGAAAGATTACAAGTTCAAGACTACCCTGGACAACTCAGCAATACCCTATCTCAAAAAATAAAAAAGGGCTAGAGATGTAGCTCAGTACCAAAGTTCTGGGTGCAATCTCTACTACCACAGGCCAGGAAGGATAAGGGGAAGAGAGAAAGGGAGGCAGGGAGGGAAAGAAATTAATTTTATGTTCACTATCTTTTGGGATTTCTTGGAATGTAAATAAGAACCAAAATGTATAACAGATATTGGGAAATGCAATGAAAATATTCAAATAAGAACAAGGGAGGAGGAGGGGGTAAAGGAAAAAAGGGACAAGAAACAAAAGAAGAAAAAAATGAAAATAAAGCTTTATAAATAAGCAGGGGAAGAATTTAAAGGAAGAGAAGGAGAATGGGAACAAAAAAAAGATGTATCATGTAGAGCTATAAATTCCCTACAGTGAATACTATTATGTAGATCTAAAATGTACCAATTAAGGGGCCAGGGAGACAGCTCAGTAGAATAAGCACTTGCCTGACAAGCGCAAGGGCCTGAGTTCAATCCTTGGTTCCACAAAAAAATAAAAATAAATAAATAAAACATACCAATTAAAAAAAAAAAAGAAAAAGATTTCTTGGAAAACCAGAGCTTGTAACTTTCAAAGAAGTATTTCCTTTTCTTTCTTTCTTTTTTTTTTTTTTTTGTGCTACAGGAAATCAAACTCTGGACCTTGAGCTTGCCAGGCAGGCACTGTGTCACTGAGCTATATCCTCAGCCCCAAAGTATTTCAAATACAGTTAAGTTCCCAACTTGCAAACATGCTAGTTTCAATCTTTCACAGGTTTACTGTATAAAACTAACTTTGGGGGATGGGAAGATAGCTCAGTAGAATAAGTGCTTGCCTGGCAAGCACAAGGTCCTGAGTTCAATCCCCAGTACCCCAAAAAATAAATAAATAAATAAAATTAAATTAACTTTCTCAGATATAAACAAATCCAACTTACGATATAGACAAGCAGGGAAGAATGGAGAGAAAGGGAAAGGACATAAAGAATTATGTATATATCAACTCTCCACTATGAATGTAACCATTATGTACTATAAACATGTAATAAAAATTTAAATTAGCTAGCATGGCAGCACAATGTGGTGGTACACACCTGAATACTCAAACTCAGGAGGCTTAAGCAGAAAATCACCAAGAGTTTAAGGCCAATCTCTGCTACTTATTGAGTGCAATGCCAGCCTGAACAGGAGAGCTCACTATCCATCTCTCCATCTCAAAAGCAAACAAACAAACAAAAAAAAAAAAAAAAAAAATAGAGAGAGAGAGAGAGGAGCAATTAGAAGCTAAATGAAAACCAAACCAGGTGTGGCTCCAGCCTGCAATCCCAGTACTTGGGAAGCTGAGGCACAAAGATCACCATGAATTTTGAGTCCAGTCTGGACTACATGACCAGTTCAAGACCAGCTGGGAACTACGGTTTTTCTTCTTTCTTAAAAAATCTATATTTTTACATATTATTTTTTCAGCAAATAGTCTGTGAATATTGCTCTCATTTAAGAAGAAAAAAAAACACTACTCATAAGAGAGCTCTAGGGCCGGGTAGATGGCTCAGTAGACTAAGCGCTTCCCTGGCAAGCACAAGGGCCTGAGTTCAATCCCCGGTTCCACCAAAAAAAAAAAAAAAAAAGAGAGAGAGAGAGAGTTCTCATTTAATAAGAACTAATTTAAGGTCAGATTCATTCTCATTTAATCTTTATCCCCTTATAAAGTAGCTATTCTCTTCCCAGACAGAAGCTATGCAACATGAACAAAAAATTATAGTCAATGTTTCAATAAAATGTTTAGTTACTATAGTAGCAGACACATTATGATTAATCCTTCTTAAAATACTCCCCCTCATCCCATCAACCTATCTGAAGCAGTTCTGGACAGTGTCTTCACATTTTGGTGTCTTTAGTTGCACTATTGTAGTTGCCTCAAAGTCCGAGATCAGTTCAAAACATTTACCTTTTATGCTCATTTTGACTTTAGGGAAGAGGCAGACAGATCCAGTGAGCAAGTTCAAATTAGGACATACAATATGATAATGTTTTATTACTCTTTCTGTTGGGTGGTACTCAGCAGCATCACCATATTTTTTATCATACCTAGTGAAGACACAGAGGAGAACTTCAGGAACTGCTTCAGAAAGTGGCACAATATAATACTATGTACTCCAAACATATACTCATTAAATATTTCAAAAATAAATTTTTAATGGCCAGGCATGGTGGCACACACCTGTAATCCCAGCATTTAAGATCACTGTGAGTTCAAGACCAGCCTGAACTATTGTCAAGACAATGTGTCAAGGGGCTGGGGAGATGGCTCAGTAGAATAAGCGCCTGCCTGGCAAGAGCAAGGACCCGAGTTCAATCCTCAGCTCTACCAAGAAAAAAAAAAAAAAAAAAAAGACAATGTGTCAAAAATCACACCCCATCCCCACAATGCCAAAGTCACAGGTTCAGAAGATCTACTCTCAGTAGCACTAAGCAAAAACAAAAGGATCCAAAATGAAGATTTCTCAGATTAAAATTGACAAGAATGATATTGGGTGTGGTGGTACATGCCTATAACCCTGGGAGGCCGAGGCATGAGGATGGCAAGTTGGAGCCCAGCCTGGGCAACTGAGCAATATAGTAGGACCCCTTCCCAAAAAAAAATAAAAAATAAAAAAGGGCTGAGGCAGACATGGTGGAACACAACTGGTAACCTCAACACTTGGGGGAGGATGAAGCAAAAGGAAAGTTGTGAGTTCAAAGCCAACCTGAACTACAAGGCATGACCCTGCCTCAAAAAGCAATAAACAAATTGGACTGGAGGCACAGAATGAAGGCCCTGGGTTCAATCCCCAGCATACTACTGATGAGAATAGAGAAGGTTGGCAAGTCTCATGAATGTTCACTCCAGATACCATGTTCAAAAATGGTAAATTAGTAGTATCTCTTTAGAAAACTATGCGCCACAAAAATATGATTCAAATGGGGCCGAGGAGATAGCTCAGTATAATAAGCGCTTGCCTGGCAAGGGCAAAGACCTGAGTTCAATCCCCAGTCCCGAAAAAAAAAAAAAAAATTATATATTTCGAAGACTTAAGTTTCGAAACTCTTCACTTCTTGTCTGTCCTAATATGATGACTACTAGCAACATGTAATTTAAACTTAATTGAACTTTGAAATTCAGTAAAATTTAGAAGTTTACTTTCTCACTTGCATCACATGTCAAACAGTCCATGGCCACGTGTGGCAAGGCACAGAGACTACTTCTACGGGACAGAGTGACTATCAAGCTCTAAGCACAAAGTCGGTGCGGAGCGGAGCATAACGGAGAGGAGAGGGAGCATACGGCGCGCGGCGAGAATAGACGCTGCTGGGCCGCTAGTGGCACTGGAGCTGCTGCCCGGGACGTCCTCCCTGACGCGGCGGTACGGGGAACCCCTAAAGGGGACTCGCGCGGGGAGCCCGTAGGTATCTGTTGGGCCTAGAAGTACCGGCGCCCACAGGTCAGAGGCGCTGGCCTCCGACCTCTCCGCGAACTGAGGAAGCGGCAAGATGGGAGACGCAGGGAGTGAACCAGCCGGGGCCAGGGCTGGGACCTCAGGCAGTCACTCGTAAGCGGTGATGGACGCTCAGCCCTTATTCGGGAGGCTGGGACGCCGAGGCCTCACAGGCGGCGCGGAAGGCGAAGCCCTGGCCGACCGGGAAGGCGCGCGGAGAGCCCCCCCCCAACCCCCCCGCGCCGGGCGCGCGCGCCCGTGCCAACGGCTAGTCAGGGTAAACAAGGCCTCGACCCATGCCGCATACTTACCGGAAACAGCGACCTCGCGGCCGCAGAGCCCCAGAAGGCTACAGCAGGTCAAGCCGTACCAAAGAAGTCTCACTGGGACTCAACGACAGCGGAGGAGGCGGGCAGACACCGGTCAGGCCCGCTGCTTCCTCCGGCAGAGTCGACCCCGCAGCTCCGGAAGTGCTCTACTTAGTTGCGTCACTTCCGGCTGGGGTCGCCTGGCGGTCGGCGGCAGGTTCCTGGTAGGGCTTCCCCTGCGAACTTCTCTGTAGACTGTTCTCCCACCGAGTTGGATATGGTTATTGATGGCAGTTGCTCCCGGAGGCAGCAGAGGTCTGGACTTATGAAGGAATGGTCTAAATAAACATCTTTTCTTGCTTTGGCTTACCAGCGTCTCAAGCCGAGATATTTTTAACAGTAGCCTTTCTGACTGGCTCTTTACTCAGGCGTAGGGCACTGAGAAGGTATCCCAGCGTCCGCAGGGAGGATTAAGGACCTTGGGCTGCTGGCCGCTGTCTGGCTGAAGGAGAGCCAGACGGACATTCAGTGTGTCTCAAGGGGAGTTGCTAGATGGACTGCGCCTGTAATGGCTTTGCCCATCACTGCCTGATTCTCTGCCCACTTCTTCAGTCTCCAACTTACACATTACATCTTAACTTTTTGTTTCACTTTTTTCTCACACAGCCTAACAACTACCTTTAGTACTTCCAGCCAAATGTCTATAGACAGTAAAACAGAAAGCCATTTTGCCTGGGGCAGCTACAGCCATTTTGTCATCTACCTCTGAACTTGGCTAAGCCACTCATTAATTATCAAACTGAAATTTCTGTGAATGTTCCAAAAGCCACTATCCTTTATGTGCCTGTGGTTGCCACAAGTTACCCAATGTACCATGGCCTTCAGTTATGCTTATCTTAGTTTCGGTAACTTCTATAACTGCCCCATATTTTGTAATTAGGGCCCAGACTTTGGAGACTACTTCTCTGAGTCCACCACTGTTAAAGTTTTCTTTCTTGGGGCTGGTGAGATGGCTCAGTGGTCTAAAGCACCTACTTAGAACAAGTTTAGCAAAGCACAGGGACCGCGGTTCAATGCCCCAGCACCACATGCCAGCCAGCCCCGCCCCCTGGTGGGCTGAGCTGGCCACACACACACACACACACACACAAATAAATAAAATTAAAAAAAATAAAAAAATAAAGTTTCCTTTCTTCTCCTGAGCTCCTGGTTGCTGTGGACTTAGTTTTCCTGTAACATTCTGGTGTGTCCACAGGAAAGGGGAAAAGATAGCTATAGTCTTGCACAGCCTATGGGGTGGGTTGTGTAGGCATGTCTCCCCCACTCCAACTCTAGACAATACTCAGAGGGGAAGCCTACCCCTTTGACTTCTGAGTTCCCCTTTGTAGCCTCTGGGATGCTTACTGGGGCACCCCTATCTCCATTGCCAGGTCTAAAGGAGAATGAATGAAACTATCCAGACTGCTAAATCAGGTAAGACTGTTCTGGTTTCTGATAGTCAGGCCCATCCCAACAGATGGAAGAGGAGCTTTATCACCCCCTAGTCAGATTCTGGGATTTTGCATGGAGAGTGGTATCTTTAAACTTGTGAATGAATGAATGAATGGCATCCCTGGCAATCCAGCAGCTTTGGTTATTTCTGTCTGTGACAACTCAGCTTTAGCCATAGAGGTTGAGTGGACTTGTTCTGCAGGTCTGTGGTCTATTATATGGCTCAGAGGCAACTCACACTCATGTAATAGGGATCACAGACTGGACCTGCAGTTACAGCCCACCTATTGCTAAGATAGACCTTTGTCCCTGAGAGGGGAGCACCCAGACAAATATCTGACTAGTCCTCTGATATGAGGGCACCCCTCCTTTGTTGCATGTCCTGAACATGAGTATGCAATATACACGTATATAGGGGTGGGGAGATAGCTCAGTAGAATAAGCACTTGCCTGGCAAGTGTAAGAGCCTGAGTTCAATCCCTGGTTCCGCCGAAGAAAAAACAAACAAACAATATACATGTATGGAGTCATAATGGGATCTAGTCATACTAAACCCAACGAATGCCTCTTGAAAAACTTTAAGAAGGGTTTCTTTGGTGACTATGGAGTTTAAATGAAGCCTAGATGGCTCTGCTTCTTCTGTGAGATCAACTGACCAAAACTCAGTCCCATTTGGCCTCCTGAAGGGATATTAGATGAAAGAGAAGTCCACCACATCTGGGATGTAGTGATGGAGACAGGACCCAAAGATCATCTGGACCAATTTCCTTACATGGATTCCTGGTTAAATTTGGCTCTCAATCTCCAACCTTGGCTCCGCTTCTGTGTCCTGTGCCAACCAAATGCCATCTTCCTTATGAAGTCTCATACCCCTACTAAGGGATTCACCAGTTCACCTACAAGGTCTATTAAGGAAAAGGCCATCCTCTACAAGGACGCCTTAAGCTGAGATCTGCCTCCACCTTATTAGCCACTGCCACCAGCTTGATGAACGTCCCTCAGATTTTTATGAGAGATTCTGTAAAGCCTGCAAGGCTTTCACCCCCTTTGCCCCTGAGACCAGAGAAAACCTACAGATGACAAATGTGCCTTGGGGCCAGGGAGATAGTTCAGTGGAATAAGCACTTGCCTGGCAAGCTCAAGGACCTGAGTTCAATCCCCAGTTCCACAAAAAAAAAAAAAAAAGAGAGAGAGATAAATGTGCCTTTCATACACAAGTTACCCCTGATATCCACAGAAAAATCTAGTAGGTACACAGCGTCACTGGAATGAATAAAAATAACTTCAAACTAATGAAGTCTTTGTAAATTGGGAAAAAGAACAAGAACGTAAAGCTGATCATCAAGCTGAACAAAAGGTTTTCTTCATCACTGTGGCCCTAGGAAGACCAGTCCCAATCTAGTTACTCCCTTGAAATCACAGAACAACCTCCTGGCAAGGCCCCCAGGCATCAGGCACACCTGTCTCCATCAGATCCAGAACTTCCCTCAACCTGGGTAATGATCCTAATGCCTGGCCAAAGATCAATGTACAAGATGCAAAGGTTATGGACCCTGGAAAATTGAATGTCTACTCAGATTAAAAGACAAGGACCTCCAAAGGTTTTAACCAGAGCCAGAAGACAATTCTTTTAGCAGCCTTCCAGGTTCTGATCAGACCAGGCTCTATTCACTGGGTCCCAAAGAGCCCATGGTACAAGTCCAAAGTGGCAGCCCCCATCACCTTCTCCCCAGAATCTGATTCTCTGTCACTCTCAGCTCTGCATCCATACTTCCATTACTCCATCAGTCCAGTGAGGAGTAATGGAGACTGATGAACATATAAGATGAAGCAAATGCAGAAATTCTCAAAACCCTCTCTCCCCAAGTTTGGGCTGAAGACTCCCCACCTGGACTGACCATCAATCATCCATTCCTGATTGTGGAACACCACACCAGTGTGACACCCCCCCACACACACCTCATATCAAACAGTATCAATGTCCCAGGAGGCCAAGATAGGAACACAGCCTCATGTTCAGAGATTCCAGAATTATGGAATTCTCACAGAATTTCAATCACCCTGGGATACGTACCTTATATCAAGAAGCTGAGGGCTGGAGAGATGGCTCAGTGGTCTAAAGCACCTACTTGGAACAAGCTTGGCAAAGCACAGGGACCACGGTTCGATCCCCCAGCACCACATGCCAGCCAGCTGCGCCCCCCTGGTGGGCTGAGCTGGCCACACACACACACACACACACACAAACACACAAAATAAATAAATGTTAAAAAAAAAAAAAAAAAAAAAAGCTGAATGGAGGGCCGGGGAGATGGCTCAGTAGATTAAGTGTTTGCCTCACAAGCGCAAGGGCCTGAGTTCAATCCCCGGTTCCCGCCCCCCCAAAAAAAGAAGCTAAATGGAGAGTATCATCCTATCCAAGTTATCAATGCAGCTGTCCTACACCCTGCAGTTCCAAATCTTTACACCCTCCTTAAGTCTTGTTTTAGTTTTTTTTTCCTTAAGTCTTCTGTCACCTTGTGCCTACTGATAACTTATCTAGACTTAAAGAATGCCTTTTTTTCCTGCCTCCAATCAACCTCTGCTAGCCAGCCTATTTTCACTTTCAAATGGGACACCAAAGCCTTACTACAGTGCTTGACAAGAGACTGGACACAAAGTTTCATGGACAAAGGCTCAAATCTGCAGACAGGGGGCTGGGGAGAGAGCTCAGTAGAATAAGCACTTGCCTGGGAAGCGCAAAGACCTGAGTTCAATCCCCAGTTCTGCCAAAAAAAAAAAAAAAATCTGCAGGCAAAAGGTCAGATATCTGGGATTGACTTAAGTCAGGAACACCATGCCCTTGGAAAGAAAAGAGGTAATTTGTTCTTGCTGGTCCCAACCACAAGAAAGAAACTCAGAGAATACCCTAGAGCTGCTGGCTTCTGCAGAACCTGGATCCCTGGGTTTGAAGAGAAAGCAAAGCCCATGTATGACACCTTATCTGGAAAAGACTTTGACATCTTCAACTGGAATCAAGAATAAGAAAAAGCCTTCAGTGACATTTAAAAGGCCCTCAACAGTCCCAGTCTTGAGAATTCCAGACATGACTCACCCTTTCAGTCTCTTTGTTGATGAACAATGACATGTTGCCTCAAGGATACTCACCCAGACTATTGTCCCATGGGAAAAACCAGTGGCTTATTTATCTAAGAATCTAGATCTTGTTACCAAAAGCTAGTTGCCCCCTGCTTCCATGTCCTGGCAGCTACTGTCCTAATTAAGGAAGCTAGCAAGCACACTGTAGGACAAAATCTGACTGTTTAGGTGCCACATGCTGTGCTGGACCTTCTCAATAACCCTAGACACCTCTAGCTTTCCAACAGCTGAGCTACTCTATCAGTGACTCTTAGGTGAGAATGCTCTTTGACATTGACATCTGTTCAGCCCGGCCACCTACTTGATCACCAAGCTGGGCCCTCCTAACCCCAGTTGCCTCTCATTGAATGATGAACTATTCTGAAGCAGCCTAGACCTGAAAATGGATCCCTTGATAGATGCTGACTACACCCTGTTTATGGATGGAAGTAGCTCTGCCAAGGGAGTCCAGTAAGCAAGATCTATTATGTTCCTCTTAGATGAGGTTATTCTCACGTAGGTCCCTCCACGAGGATTGTCTGCACAACAAGGTGATCAATGGGCACTTATCC